ATTTTAATGCATCTTTGAATCAAGTGATACTTAGCCCTGACCAAAGCAATTAATGTTGCCTGATCTCGATAAGCAATAAAAGCCAGTGCAGAGAAGTTTGACTTGGTAGTTGGTGCCAAGACCAATTCATCACCTTTTTACAAGGTTCTGATGCTCTTTACTCAACTTTTACTACTAAATATGAACATCCTCTATTTCTAGGTACTGTGTGGGATTTAGAGGCAGGCTACTTAGGAGTTGCAGCTAGTATAAAATGACTGGTATCTCATTATTAATCTGAACAAGGAGAGGTTATGAACAGATGACACCAGTCTCAAGCCGTTGTCTCACTAGTAAGCTCTGCCCTGAAAAAAATGGCTAGTCTCTAAGGAAAGTTCAGCATTTACCGCTAGCTCAGAGTCTGTTCCTTGTATCTCTTTGCACAGTTGCACAATACATCACATTCCTTTCACTTCTCTCTCAGCCCTAGTCCTGATCGCCTCCTCTGCTGTTGGCCTCCATTTTGCTAGAGCTGATCAACTGACAGTGCCTGCTGCTGACCAGCTTTAGTCATTGTTTATCCATGCAATGGCTGGGAAGGGTTTAAGACAGGGCCAGGTCTACACTGGTGGAGAAAATCAATTCAAAATACACCACTCCAGCTATGTGAACTGCATACTGGAGTCAATGTACCTTATGCTGATTTTCTGGGTGGGGTCCCATAGTGGGAAGTCGATGGGAAAAATGCTTCCAGGGACTTCCCTTACTCTTCACGACAATGAGGAGTACCGGTGCCGATGAGGGCACCTTCAGTGTTCAATTCAGTGGGTCTTTTCTGGACCCACTAAATGGAACCCTAGAGGACTGATCACCAGAGCACTGATCCTCCAGCAAGTGAAGACTTGGCTTGGTTTACTAGAATCTTTCTTTTCCATTATTATTTGTCCTAAAGGAACACCCATCATGCACCATGACCTCACTATACTAGGTGCTATACACACTGTGACAAAGCTCCTATGAAAACTCAGTGGCAGATTTTGCTTGCCTCAGAGGCTCACAGCAGCCCACAGTTTTAGGCACTTTGCCTAGAGCTTTAGTTTGCTGAGCTCTTTTCACCATTGGCCAGCGTATAGTAAAACAGAGAAAAAACTCCACAATCCTTTTCTCCAAGTGGAAATGGGAAGGTGGATGTTGAGGGTCAACCCGGACCCACCCTCTACTCCAAGTTCCAGCCCAGGGCCTTGTAATTGTAGCTGTCTGTATGAATCCCCGATACCTGCTATAATACAGCTCCAAGACTTCTGGGCTACTTCCCCACATCTTTCCCAACACCTTTCTTCTCTCCAGTTCATCCTCCCAGTGGCCAGTTGTTGTCTCCTTTCCTCCTACTCCCAGCAGCACCCTCCTCCATCCTCTCAGCTGTATGTGCACCCCAACTGTAGGCAAAGCTTCTTTTATAGCCACTCTGAACTGGTTTTCTTTCCAGGTGTCCTAATTAGCCTAGGCTGGCTGACTCTGCAGGCCTGATCAATTAGTCCCATGTGTTCCACTGCCAGCCCCTCCTTGTTACTCTCAGAACAGAGATCTCCTCAATCTGAGGCTATGTCGCCTGCGTTGGCTTGGCCATGTACGCCGCATGGAGGACGGGAGGATCCCAAAGGACATCCTCTACGGGGAACTGGCATCTGGGAAGAGAACCACAGGGCGCCCGAACCTGCGATTTAAAGATGTCGTGAAGAGGGACATGAAAGCCATCGACATAAACACGCAGTCCTGGGAAGACCTCGCAGCAGACCGCCCAAAGTGGAGGGGCACCCTGACCACACAGCTCAAGTCAGGCGAAACGAACATGATGCGTGCATCAGAAGAAAAGCGAGCCCGCAGGAAGTTACGCAACAACAACAGCCAGGGAACCACCTACAGCTGCGACTTCTGCGGCAAAGAATGCCTGTCCCGGATTGGCCTTTTCAGCCACCAACGACGCTGTCCCCGACGCTGTCCCAGACAATCCGACACGAACCAAGACGAGAACTAGGATACGTCATCCATGGTCAACTGACCAACGGAGGCCAACAGTGTCCTGCCCCTAGCCAGCCTCACTGGAGGTTTCAGCTGCTCCCTGTGGATCCCCCACTCCCCCCCCCTCCCCGCAAGGAGCCTTCATTCGAGGACCCAAGCCAGGCTCAGTAACACAACAGAGGCTGCTCCCTGCCACACTCCATTGTTCATACATTAGTAGATTGGTGAATATTTGTGCTTTATTTCTCGCATGAATTGCTCTGCTTTCAGCTTCCAGCCACTGCGTCTGTCTGCTCGATTGCACAGCTCTTTGATACCTGCTGTTTTCTCTCCGGGAAGACACGTCAACACTTCAATAAAGTCACCTTTCAATCTTCTTTGTATAGCCAAGCAGACTGAGCTTTTTCAGTACCTCACTAGAAGGTATTTTTCTCCAGCCCTCGAAACATTAGGTGTCTCTTTGCTGCCTGTGATGGGCAGACCAGGCCCTGAGGCCAGAAAAGAGCATAGAGGAGTCCTCTAAGGAGTCTAGATGGGCTGCAGCCAATCAGGGGCCAGGAAAGCCAAGAGGAAGCTAGAGGACCAGAGTCAGCGCAGTTGCAATTGAGCCCTGAAGGAGAGAAGAGCAGGAGTAGGTGAGGGTGGGGAGCAACTGGCTGGCTGAGGGAACGGCAGCACAATGGACAGCTCCCAGTGGAGAGATGCTGCGAGACTGAAGGACTGGAAGACAAAGCCCCAAGGGTCTGTCTACACAGCACACTCACTTCAAAACAAGCTAGTTTGGATTTTTTTTTCTGAAATGGCTTATTTCAAACTAGCACGTCTACACTACAGGGAAGCCTCAAAATGAGTCCGAGGTTGGCTCCCCTAATGTGGACGCGCTACCTCGGTTTAGAGCCCCAGGAGGCGCTGGAGAGAAGCTACTCTGAGTGGGGGAGGAGCCATTTTGAAATAGCCGCAGTGGAGCGTGCACACGACGGCTGTTCCAAAATCGCTATGTCAGAAGAGACGTTATTTCTCCTGGAATGAGGTTTGTAGATTTCGAAGTAAGCCGTCCGTTGCTTCGAAATGATTTTGAAAGAATGGAATTGCTGTGTCGTCGCTCGCACGGTTATTTCGAAATAACTGTCCTGTGTAGACGCACCCAAGATAGGGGCGAGGGAATTGTCTCCAGGAGGAGGAGCCCTGGAGGCGCCACTCTTGATGGGAGTGGGGAGAATGAACCGAGAGACACTCCACAGGGGGCACCGGGATGGGCCCGTTAGACGTGTACCCAGGGAGGTGTTTGTGATACAGCGGGTGGGACTCGGCAGAGGGCTGAGTTGCCCAAGAGACGTTGGACTAACAAACTGAGGCAGTGCAGACACACGCCCTGGGCCAGATGGGCGCGCTCGTGGGAGGGGACGGCTCCACATGAGCACCGGTTTCCCCAGTGCCGCTTGCCCCCTGCCCTTGTTGCTGCCTCCAGTATGAAGGCAGCAATGCAGCGAGGCAGGCAAGGGGGGCTCCCTGCGAGCACCAGCTCCCGCCTGCCCCCGCGTGTAAACATAAGCACATTACCAAAATACACCGTTGTGAACTCCCCTAGAGTAGATGATCACAAGGGTCCCTTCGGCAGAGTCGTCAATCGGATGCTAATCTGCATCCCTGGAGAGAATCCCAGGCGAGATTGTTTAGTGCGTTGGATTTCAACATCGTCACCTGTGGCCCCTACACATTTCAAATAGATGTGAGGTCCCCATGGGTATTTTCAGCATCCTCACTGGCCTGCCCAGAGCACAGGCTAAAAGCCATGGGTGGGGTCAGTCATTTGGCTCAAGAGACCCAATGCCAGTGACACTCAGGTTTATTAATAAGCACAGGAGAGAGGTTCTCAACTCCAGCAAGCCCTGAAGAGCTGTCCCCTGTAGCCACTTTCCAGGTGCCCTCCGCAGAAGATTTGCCCCTGGCGCGCACATTCCAGCGAGGATCACTGATTCTGTTTCACGCCTGACGTGTTTCTTTCCACGTCACTAAAACTGCCCCTCACTTTGTCCCAGTTCTCCAACTTGTTCTCTTCCTCCCTCACCTGCGTGCGGGACCAGCCTCCCAGGGCGGTGCAGGAACGCTGCTTCCCCAGCCTGTTCTAAGGCGGGGAACGAGCGTATCTTCCTTTGGATAGATATCTCCTCTATTGGCTCCGCCCAACGGCTTGTTTCAGAACAAAGGCGGGGAGTTCTGGGCTGATTGGCAGCAGGGAGCAGGGATTGGGATTGGGTCCAGGCCAGCTTAGTCTACAGCATGGCTACAGGAGTGGGAGAAGCAGCAGGAAGTTGGGGTGGGGATATGGGGGTGAGCCTGGGGCAGAGGGAACCGGACAGGAAGGTGCTTCCTGCCTGATCACACCAGTTGCTAGTGGCACCTTGACCCAAGGCCAGGCACATGGCAGATGCTCCAGCCATTCTCTATTCTACACAAAGGCATGGACTTCCTAATTTCCCTGGGAGCACCTGACTTCCACTCTGCCCCAGGCCCTGCCCCCACTTCCACCAAAGCCCCACCCCTTCCTGTCATACCCTGCCTCTTCCCTCTCAGCCCACCCCCTCTGCCTCAGTGCCTCCTGCCCACAGAGAACAGCTGACTGCAGCCGGTGGGAGCGGCTGAGATGGAAGGGGAGGAGCTGAGCCGCACAGGGGGGGTGCTCCATGGAGTTAGCACCTAAGCGCCCAGGCCCCGATCAGCTGGGCACACGGGTTGTGAATCCTGAGTCCCTTCTGTAGGACAGGGAATTCTGGGTTCTTCTCCTTCCCCACCCCCACCCCATCCCTTCCCCCTCAGGACCAGAGCAAGCTGGGGATCCTGCCACAGCCCCTCCCATGCCCTAGATCACACCAGTGTGGTTCTGCTCCCAGAACCTCCATACCAGGGGCACTGAGAGGCCCACATCAAGTCGCCCCCTTGCTGAGCTAAAATGCTCCAGCTCCTGATGTCCCTGCAAGGCATAGGGTCGTGGATTTCAAGGCCAAAGATGAACATATTTAATGACACAAATAATAAATAACAATGAACGACAACCTGAACTAAACCTCACTTGGAAACTCAGCAGCCATCCTGGCATAATACATCAGTAGTGTTACATCAGTAGTGTTACATCAGCAGCGTTACATCAGTAGTGTTACATCAGTAGTGTTACATGAGAAGCGTTATCCCCATTTTACAGGCCAGAGACCCTGCGGTGACTCTGCGAGAAGATGGGGTTGGTCTCCCAGCTCTTGGCCAAGGTCCAGGGCAGCAGGCAGAGGAGCATGGCTGGATGGTAGAGCCAAGCAGTGTGAATTGTCCTAGCTCCTCCCAGGGCTCAGTTGCTGTGAGATAACAGAGCCCGCTTGGTGCTGATGGTGACTCCAGCTCTGCCCAGCCAGTCCCCTAGGTCTCAGCCCCGGCTGGCTGCTCATGGCCAGCGGGGCCGACTTGTCCTGAGCTGAGCCCAGCTGGGACCAGGCAAGAGGCCTCTTTAGGTTCTTCCTGCTCAGCCTTCCTCCGGGAGCAGGAGCCAACTGGGCCTTGGCGGAGATGGCAGAGAAACACAGAGACCAGCAGGAGGAGGAAGAGGCAGGCAGCACAGAGAACAGCCAGGCGGCTCCCCAGGCAGGAGGCTGGGGGACCCAGGAGCCCTGCAACAGAGAGAGGACATGGGACGGCCTCTCAGGGCAGGGGCGAGTGCTTTGAGAAAGGGGCAGGGCCCAATCGCATTGGCTGGGCAGATCTACCAATGGGAGCACTAGACTGAGGGAGATGGATGGGGCTCCCCTGTCCTGGTTGGTTCCCCCACACACACACACTCTCTTTCAGGGTCTGCGAGGCTGCACTGCTCCTGGGGGCTGGACCCCCCACCCAACTCACCTGGGCTCAGCTCCAGGCTCAGGGACCGGGTGATCGGCACTCCCAGCACACGAGGGGTTAACATGAAGGTCAGCTGGGCGCTGCGAGTCTCAAGCGGCACCGTGACCCAGCTGGTTACGTGGTACAGGCCCTGTTCATCCGCCCGCTGCTCCGTGGTGCTCTCTGCCATGATGTCCCCACCTGCCTCGTCCAGCCACCGCACTGTGGCTGCGGGGTCCCCGCCCCCTGTGCAGGCGGTCAGCCTGAGCCCGGCGCTGGAGAGGCTGACATTCAGATGGGGCTCGCTGAACGGGGCTGGAGAAGGAACGTGGGGGCAGATTTAGGCAGGGGGCTTGGATTTGGGCCCCGCCGTGTCCTGCCCTGGGCTCTGTGAACACGGCAGTGCTGTAACGCGGCAGTGCGGCCACTCCCCCACGTGCTAAGAAAACCAACTCCCTGCACTGGGAGCCCATTTACTGGTGCGTTACTGCATCGTCCCCAGCTGCGCGCCGAGGGGGGCGTTTTCACACCCCTGGGCGAAGTTACAGCACAGCAAAGTGGCCACACAGACAAGCCCCGCGTTGACTCCCAGAATCACGGCAAATGGGAGCTGCAGGGGCGGAGCCTGCAGGGGAGGGCAGCGGCCGGACAGAGCTCCACGATGCACGGCTTGTGGCCGCAATGAGGCTTGGGGAGAGGGGGGAGAGGAGAGCGGCAGCGTGTGGAGCTGCGCCTCATCCCAACCACCAGGCAGAGCCGGCCCCGTACTCAGCACACAGGCACTTCAGAGGCTGCAGCCCAAGCCCCTCCTGAGCCCCAGCCCTAGGCTGCAGCCTGAAGCGCTGCTCTGAATTCGGGCTGGGGGGGGCACTGAGCAAGTGTGCACAGCGACAGCGAGTTTCTGTGGGACTGCGGAGCTGACACCCTGCCCCCATCCCCTGCCCTGGAAGCAGCCCAGCCCAGCGCAGTGTTGATAAAATACCACCTGCACGATGAGGGAGGCTTGGACCTGAGCTCTCAGAGTCCGAGCGCAGAGAGCTCTGGGCGGCAATTACATAGTAAAGCACCCTGCAGCCCCCAGCTGAGGGCATGGAGAAGGCCCCATCCCAGGACCCAGCGTTCCCGGCACTCACCTCCCACTCGCAGCTCCCAGTTCTCAGTCCTGCTGCCCTGCTCCGAGGCAACATGGCAGCAATAGACGCCCTCGTCCTGCGTGCGGACGCCCCTCAGCACCAGGGATGCATTCCCCCGGGCCAGCCCCTCGGCATCCAGCCACGTCCGGTTCCGATAAGCCGCATCCTGTCTCTCCAGCTGGTCCTTCCCATAGTAGTAACTATGAACCACCCGGGGCTCTGCCCTCGCCTGCTCCAGCTCCTTCTGCCAGGTGAGGGTCAGACGATCAAGGTTCATCCTGGGCTGGGAGGGGAAGAGGCAGCTCAGGGTGACGTCCCCCCCGAAGTGAGCTACCATGTCTGGTACTGACTGCACTGCAGGGAGCAGGAAACATGGAGTAGTGAGTTTTAGGGTAAGAAACTCCAGTGACCCAGCAGGGGGCACCATGGGGAGCCAGGTGGGACTGTCGGCCTCAGAGATGTTCCTGGCTACTCCAGCCTAGCCCAGTAGGGGGCATTGTGGGAGGTGGGATGGATCTGCCATCAATGGGAGGATCTTCTCAGCTACCCCAGTTCCAGTATGGTCCAGCAGGGGGCACGGTGGAGAGTGGGGTAGGAGTGCTAGCCCTGGGAGGAGCTCCCAGCAACCCCAGCCCCAGCCTGGCCCAGCAGGGGGTGCTGTGGGGAGTGGAGTGGGAGTGCTAACCAGGGGCAGAGCTCCCAGCTACCCCAGTCCCAGGTTGGCCCAGCAGGGGGTGCTGTGGGAGTGGAGTGGGAATGCTAGCCATGGGAGGCGCTCCAAGCTGCCCCAGTCCCAGCTTGGCCCAGCAGGGGGCGCTGTGGGAGTGGGGTGGGAATGCTAGCCGTGGGAGGCGCTCCAAGCTGCCCCAGTCCCAGCTTGGACCAGCAGGGGGCGATATAGGGACTGGGGCAGAGCTCACTCCAGCTGTGATGCACAAGGTGCTGAGGGTGACACATCCCATTACCTGTTCCCATGATCAGAACTGGGAAGTGCAGCCAGTACACGAGGAACATCTTCATGGCTGTTGCAGGCAGCAGGTGCCTAGTGAGTAAGGGTCAGGACTCCTGGGTTCAAATCCTTGCTCCACCACAGACAACTATCTGCACCTAGGATGTGGCATGTCCTCCTCTGGGCCTCAGTTTCCCCATCTGCAACAGGGGAACACCAAGCTGCCCAGTGTCTCGTTCACTGCCCGATCGCTTCAGGCCCAGCCAGTGCATGTGATTTCAACTGCTCAGCGTTGTTCCTGTCAGATCATTTTGTGCCAGGGCAGGGGTGAAAGTAAATCACGTTTCTTACAGGTACTGTTGCATTGCACCCTTGGGAGGGACTTAGGGCAGGGGCATGAGAGGTTGTGATAGGGCAGTATCTGTAAGAAATGTAAGTGTGGGCTGGAGTGCAGGGGAGGGGGGGACGGATGGGGGGGGCAGGAGCTTGAGGGTGTGGGGAGCTCAGGGTAAAGGGTTGGAGTTTGGGGGTGCAGGAGTCAGAGTTGGGGACTGTGAGGAGGGGCTCAGAGCAGGGAGCTCAGGGGGTGTGGGGTGAGATCTGGGGGGGCAAGAGCACCATTTTGGGAGGGGGGCTGCAGGCTAGCATTTTCCCCTTCCTCCCTGATAGTCAGGGGAAGAAGAGTAGGTAGGACTGCAGGCCCCTCCCCCACCCTCTCAAAATCGCCCGGGGGGGAGGAGGCTCAGGGCTGGGGCAGTTCCAGAAAGGGGGGGTGCACCCCTGTCACTTGTCTGGCAGCCGCGGCCCCTCCTCCTGCACCCGAGCACCCTGGCCACGGCTCCTTGCCAGAGCAGCGCACCAGGGCACAGCGGCTCATTCTCAGCTCTGGGCCCTTTGCCCTGATTGTAAAGTCATTTTAACTCCGAAAACCCATCAGTGGAATTACATGGGGGGGCTTCAAACAGCCCTTTAACCTGCATCGCAGGGACTGTGCCAGCTCCTCCCCCTGCAGCAGGTGTGGGCAATCATCTTTGGTGTGGGCCACTCCAAGAGTCAAGGGCTGCACTTTTCTGTGGAGGGAGTGCGGGGTCTGGGATGGAGGTCTGAGGAAGTGGGGAGTTTTGAGGATTCAGGGGAGCTGTCTGCAGAGGGACACTCAGTGCCCGGATGTTACTGGTTTAATGTGACAGAGGGGAGGGAGGTTGTTTCAGAGAACAGCCCAGAACTGGAGCCCAGTTACCGGTACCCTGGTGACCCCGGACCTGCTCAGACGACACAACGGCTATGTCTACACTGGCGGGTTCTTGCGCAAGAATCCGCAGCACATACACTGCCCGCCCGCTCTTGCGCCAGAAGATTTACAGTACGGCGTCGGAAGAGAGGGCTTCTTGCGCAAGAGCTATGGTCTTTTCTAATACGTGTAAGCCCTCTTGCACAAGAGAGCAGTGTGGATACGCGGCAGGGATTTCTTGAGCAAGAAAGCCCTATGGCTAAAATGGCCACCAGTAGTTTCTTGTGCAAGAGAGCGTCCACACTGCCATGGATGCTCTTGTGCAAAAGCACATGGCAGTGTGGACGTGTTCTTGCACAAGAACCTTTGCACAAGATGTTCTTGCACAAGAACCTGCCAGTGTAGATATAGCCAACCAGTCCCGGCCAGAGGACAGACAATGGGCTGCAGAGAGAAGACCCCAGGGACCGACCCATCTGGTCCCAGCGAGGGGCGAACATTGGACAGAGGAGAGAAGAAGTGGAGAAGAGAGGGGCCCAGGTGATCCTCTTACCTGGAGAGTGTGAAAGTAGAAAGAATTATACTGTAAGAGAAAGATGAATTATGCTGTAATAATTGAATAAATTGAAGGAATACTGTTTGTCTCTGAACAGGAAGAAGAAAAGTATGTTAATGTTGTTTGTAGGAATGCAGATTACAAAGTGCTAGCCAGAGTTAATAGGAAAAGGAACATTAGGTGTTAGGGAGACAACAATTGAGATAACCAAGCAATTGGACAGGCGATTGCTGTGTGCTTGATGTGGAAATGAAGAATACTTGAGTAGCCTCACACTAATTATGTGAAGTTTTGCCCCCCTTTTAATCCTGTTAATTTTGGCTTTCTTTTGACTGTATAAATCAAGGGGTTTGAACCTTGTATGGCACTCACATTTTCTCCATGCATTTTAGCAGAGCTTTGCTGAATAAACAGAGCAGTCTGACAAATCTGTGTGTCCTGTCTGACTTTGACAAGAGAGACAATGGCCGGGAAGGGGCTGTTGCTAAGGATATTGGAGGCTCTGCTGGGAGACGGCTGGGCGGTTTGAGACAGAAAGCAGAACAGGCAGGACTCACTGGCTGCAGGAGAGACTGATATGTGACATTGCTGTTCAAAGCTCCATAGACCCTCCTGTCTGGTGCTGGCTGAGAGTCGCTCTGCTCCAGGGAACAGGGGGGCGCTATTCCCTCTGGGTACGTCTACACTACAGCGCTAGTTCGAACTAACGCGTCTAGAACTAAAAACTAGTTCGAATTAGCGTTTTGCTAATTCGAACTAGCAAGTCCACATTGAGTGGACTCTGAACAGGGCTTAAGGATGGCCGGAAGCAGTGCCGGCAGGGCATCAGAGGAGGACTTAGAGCATGGAGATGCTGTCTCAGGCTAGCCGAGGGCTGCGCTTAAAGGGTCCCGACCCCCACCCCGGACACACAGTTCTAAGGGGTGCCCCTCTTGCAAAGAAGTTCTGGCTTGGAGTGCCCTGAGTGCCCACACTGGGCACATCACACCACTCGGCCATCAGCCCGGCTGCACTTGCCGCAGGCTGCCATCTGGGGAGAGGGAGTAATTGGGGGGCTGCAGGAGAGCTTCCACCCCCAGAAGCCCGCAGAGCCAGCCCAGTCCTCCCCATCGGGGGCTCGTACCCCATTCCTCCCTCACCTCCTTCCACTTACCCTTCCCTAGCCCCCCTTCTTATTGATGTACAAAATAAAGATAACGTTTCTTCCAACATTGACTCTGTCTTTATTGAAAAAAACTGGGGGAGACTGGGAAAAGGAGGTGGGAGAAGGGAAGAGAAAGGCTGGGAGAGGGGAGGGCAACTAACATGATCAGGGGTTGGGAACAGGTCCCAGATGAAGAAAGGCTACAGAGACTGGGACTGTTCAGCTTAGAAAAGAGGAGACGGAGGGGGGACAGGATAGAGGTCTCTAAAAGCAGGGGTTGGGTGGAGAGGGTGCATTCAGAAAAGTTCTTCCTGAGTTCCCATAAAGAAGGACTAGAGGACACCAAAGGAAAGGAATGGGTAGCAGGCTTGAAACTAGTAAGAGAAAGTTGTTGTTCTTGACAAAGCAAATAGTTAACCTGTGGAACTCCTTGCTGCAGGAGGCTGTGAAGGCTACAACTAGAACAGAGTTGAAAGGGAAGTGAGATCAAGTCATGGAGGTTGGGTCCATGGAGTCCTATTAGCCAGAGGGTAGGAGTGGTGTCCCTGCCCAAAGTTTGTGGAAGGCTGGAGAGGGATGGCACGAGACAAATGGCTTGGTCATTGTCTTCGGTCCATCCCCTCCAGGGTCCCTAGGGTTGGCCGCTGTCGGCAGACAGGCTACTGGGCTAGATGGACCTTTGGTCTGACCCAGGACGGCCATTGTAAGCTCAGGGCTCAGTGTCGGGGGTCTCAGTGGACCCCCTTGATTTTCATGCACACCTGGTCCTGGGTGGCCAGGCTGGCAGCTCTCCTGCCCTAGACGGCCACTTTCCTGTGCCTAGTGCGGAG